ATCTTTCCTCACCCGAAATCCCGAGGTTTTGGTTGGTCCGAATGTTGGTCCCTCTGCGCTTCTATTGGTCCCGGGTCTGTTGCCAGGGACGCGATTCGGGCCGAGGGGTCGCCGAGATGACCCCCGTCCGGGCTGTTCCCCTCCGGAGTCGGGTCAAGCCCTCTCCCGGATGACGGTCTCGTAAATTGTCACCTAATGTCTATTTTTCGGTCCCGGAGAGGAGGAAGCCGTCTCAGCCACCGCCCCCTCCACAGGAGTGTCAGTAGGACCTGCTTTGAACTCGATGTAAGGTGACCGTCCAAAGTTTCCCCGACGGTCGATCCCTCGATCGTGCTCACGATTGACGACCGTGAATCTGTCAATTAGGGCTGGAATGCGACAATTAAATTGTCTCGCACCCCGTTCCTATTTACGTAATAAGTCACCGATATATTGACTTTAGCTCGACAGCCGGTTTCCGTCCGAGGGGGAGTGTGTGGTCCCGGCCTCACAGGGCTCCCCCCTTTTGTAAAAATGACGCTTAATTTCGGAGCGTCATTTTACCTGGCGGCTGTAATACCGCCAGTCCGTCCGTTAAACGATCAGGGCTCAAGCGCTAATTCCCGGGGCTCGACCCCACTTAATAGGTAACACGTCAATTAGTGGTTTCGCATTACCACTCGGACCAACCAAGAACACTTGAGGAGGACATGATAATATTGAACCGAACGCGTTGACAAATCGAAATTACATTAAGGAATATACATATTACATTCCGCACATATTCATAATTTGATGATTACATAAACAACGAAATAAAAGGAATATCTTACATAAAATGAATAACGCGACTAGTTAACTAACATCGATTATTAAGCTAATTGGTAGCCGCATACATAAACGGTACCGACAATTAAAATGAAAAGCGTAATACATTTACACACATAGATATTGCCGACAGATAATTTTAATAAAATGACCAGCGTATACTTGATAATACTGACAATTAGTACTTTTGTGGTAGCTACAAACCATGCATTGGGTCGTGAGCCTCAATGCACCTTTACCTGAGACAGAGTTTACCCGTATGGTCGATCATTGGATTGAGCTTCGCATTTAATATTAAGTAATTTTCCCGTTTCCACTGATATCTGCAAAATAAAATTTATGGTCGCGTTTATCTCCTTCCGTCCGAAAGAGATCCTCGTCACTTCCGTTTGACTCGCCGACGGCCGTGAGGTAGGTCTACCGATTCATTTATTCCGCAGACCGTTTGGCACCGAATTCACTCCCGCCGCGACGGTCGGGAGGAGTGTCTCCCACTGATGAGTAAGGGAAGCAGTCGCTGACCTCTCCTCGGGAGGTCGAACACCTCTCCCCGCGGTCAGTGGTTCTCCGCGTTACGCGAAGTATAGTTAGGGCCGATCCTCTTTTTGTTTACCCCGAAAGGGAATGAACCCGAACCGAGTTACAACGAAACAATATTCGAAGTGATTGAATACAATTCTTTATTTTATCTATCAAAAAAAAACAGGAGGAGGAAAAGAAATGCGACAAGATCATCATATAATTCTTTTGTAAACGTCACAAAGTTTATCATTATACAAAATAAAACTCAAAAATACGAATAAAAAGGCAATATAAAAAAAAAATTTTTTTTTTTTTTTTTTCTTCTTCACGCTGGTAGGCCGTGTTTTCCTCTCTCTACCCCGGGTAGTATTCGACCCGGGTACTGTTGGGATTCTGGCGGCTGCGGAGCCCCCTCAGCGCTGCCCCGAGACGGCTCTCCCCTGATACCTGCCCTCTACCCAGATCGGCGGGGCCCGGCTCCGCATCACCGTCCTCCAGGACTTGTTGCTCGGGGATGCTTTGGAGCTCCGCTGGGAGGGGCTCCCCCACCGGTAACAATACCTTGGCGGGGTGCCCCCACTCCCTACACGCCTGGGCCCGCCGCAGCGCCTTTAATAAGTCTGATGGCTGGCTATCCGTTTGGGAAGTTTCGCCACTATTCCCGGCTCTGGCCTGAGGACTTGATTGCGCTTCCACCTGGGGACCGGGCAGGGGGCTCTCCTCCCATGCCCACGGGTCTTCTTCCCCATCTTTCACCGGGGCTGGGGACGCCTCATCGGCCCGCTCGGACCTAGTGTCCCTTTCGTCCTCGTTCCTTACTTCCGGGGGCGCTGCCTCCCCGGGTCTTCTCCTTCCCCCGACCGGGTGGACCGCCATCGTCACGGGGAGCGCCTGGTCCTGCATCAATCCGGCCACCATCGTGTACGGCAACGCCAGGCAATCCCCGTGTTTGAATGTACTGGGGAGGCTGCCTACCACCCACCGGGGCTCGTCCTCATAGACGATCCTTTGGCAACCCTCTCCCAACCGGATCTCGTAACGAAATCGCTTTACGTCTTCCTTTTTCCCCAACAATCGGAGAAGAAAATAAACCATTGTGTGAGTCTGGCCCTCCTTCCTCTCCTCCTTGACTACCTGGGCCACCCTCTCCCAACCGGATCTCGTAACGAAATCGCTTTACGTCTTCCTTTTTCCCCAACGATCGGAGAAGAAAATAAACCATCGTGTGAGTCTGGCCCTCCTTCCTCTCCTCCTTGACTACCTGGGCCAAAAACTGACAGTGCCCCGAGGCTAGACAAGCCACCCAGGAACTCCGCCGGGGCCGCTGCCACCCCAAAAGAAACATTTTTAGGAACGAAAAAACTCCCTCTCCAATTTCTGGGTGCATCCCAGCCAAATGGCCGGGAATTGCCGCTCGGGGGCCCTGCCACCAGCAGGCCGGGTCCAACACCGGACAGGGACAGGACCGGAAAGCGCAGTGTTTCTCGTGGGCCCGCGTGTCCCCTGGGGAAAGGAACTCCCTACACCCCTGGTGGTGATAACGGCAGGGATGGGCCAACACCCCCACCATCTGCTCCAGGGCAAGGCACCTGCCCCCATTCAAAGGACCCCTACATGTCGGGCACCTCTCTACCCTACCACTGCACCTAGGGCACACGATGTGTCCATTGACACACAGGGAGATGGGTGGAGTCGCCCTCTCCCAACAGACCGGGCAATCTAACAGTCCGGCCAGGGCGATGGCCATCTCACCCAGGTCCACTTGTCGGGTCGCCGCCTCTGGTCCATTCCGTTCCTGCTTCCTTCTCTGGGCCATCGTTCCTCTCACTAAAAACAAATGAAGAAAAATTGAAGTCTGTCGATATTTCCAACGCGGTTTCCGTACTCGCGGCATTTTTCGACCCCGAGTTTTCAATAAAGAGGACCCGCCCGTTTCGCGAGCTTCCCGTTTCCTCTTACCAGGTTTCCAATATGTCTCGGCGATGCTCAATCCTTACATCCTTTGATCGTTAAATTATACAGAAGACTCACCCCGACACGTGACCTATTCCGTTCGGTTCACATGTTGACTACATTGGAGGAATAACACGCGACAATTTCTTCCGTTTCTTACACACTAAAGGAAAAGTTATTTATGTACAGAAATGTTACGGTCTCTTTGATGACGACCTCTTCTCGAGGGAAGAGACCATCATTCACATCGAGTGAATAGACCGAGAGGAACTGGTGGTAATTGATCATTTATCTGGCTCTGTTCGGCCTGTTGCCAGGGACGCGATTCGGGCCGAGGGGTCGCCGAGATGACCCCCGTCCGGGCTGTTCCCCTCCGGAGTCGGGTCAAGCCCTCTCCCGGATGACGGTCTCGTAAATTGTCACCTAATGTCTATTTTTCGGTCCCGGAGAGGAGGAAGCCGTCTCAGCCACCGCCCCCTCCACAGGAGTGTCAGTAGGACCTGCTTTGAACTCGATGTAAGGTGACCGTCCAAAGTTTCCCCGACGGTCGATCCCTCGATCGTGCTCACGATTGACGACCGTGAATCTGTCAATTAGGGCTGGAATGCGACAATTAAATCGTCTCGCACCCCGTTCCTTGGTCACACCGGTCCTATTTACGTAATAAGTCACCGATATATTGACTTTAGCTCGACAGCCGGTTTCCGTCCGAGGGGGAGTGTGTGGTCCCGGCCTCACATAGTCAAGGCTCTATGCCTTCATAAAGGACGTACTTTTCCTTTGTTTAAGGGTATTTGGGCAGTTTATTCTCTGTTGTATTCTCTAGTAAACAATACATACAAGTACAGTACAGTATTTTCTGAGGAAACACTCGTACTTATTTTTTTAAACCCCATTCCCGATAACCCGGCATTTTCACAAACTCGGCCACCCTTCGGTCCACATTAGGCCGAGTTTTCGAGGTTCTACTGTACATATATAAACTTTATCAAGTTCAAAAATATACAATATTTAAATGGAAGTAAATGAGATCTTTTTTGAAAACAGATATTCTTAAAATTTACAATAACTTTCATCATTGACAACACTATGTCTTGTTTATAAAATCATACTGCCTGCTGGGTAACCAGCTTAGAGGTATGAAGGAGTACATGTCAGGAGTTGTAATTTGGCAGAGTATTAGAGGTGCCCAAATCATGCATGTATAAAAAAATCAGACTTGTAGGTACTCAGGGGACCAAGAACCAAGTCAAAATAAAATTCAAAATGGCCGCTCTCAACAAACAGGCAGTAGTGTGAGATTTGCGCATGCATTGCTCGTTGGAAAGTTGGAAATGCGAACATTGTAAATTGAATTTTGACAGATGAATCTTTGAAAAAAACCCATTTACATCTCCTGTGTTATTCCCAATATATCTCTGGTTGTGACGTGCTGACCATGAACGGTTGACCAGAGATATCTCATTTCAGCATCAGAACCTTTTTCCAAAGTATATGGCACTAGTCGTTATAATTTTATATTAAAACTAACTTCCAAAATATAATTTGTCTTTTTCTTCATTTATTAATATATATATATATTATTTGTGCAAAATAAAAAATAATTTCAGATGATACTATAGCAAGGATTATTTTTTTTTTCAAAAATGGGAAATTTTCATTAGGCATCAACAAAAATTCAACCCGGGGTGACACGCAACATTGAGAAATTTTGCAATTGAATAGGTTAATTTCACCAAAAATACATTATGGATGGCCTCGTGGTCATGGCTGGAAAAGTTTGAAAGATTGCACTCAAAACCAGAGATACCAAAGAAGATTGGAGATGAGACCCATCTTGAGCATCAAAGTGATTCTGCTTAGTAGTGAGTCTCTGAGACATAGTCTTGTCCCAAATACAGCTTTGCTGTTTTACTTGTTTTTGTTTATTCTTCAATAAATTAGAAATATTTGAATTATACTTCTAATATTGTTAATAAAAATAATTAATATTGTTAATAAAAACATGAATATACGAGTACATCAGTCATTTATATTAATGTTAAGATTATAACTATATTTGATTTATATATCAAATATATTAATAATCAATATTAAATATTGGCAAATCACAAACATTATTTGGATAAATTATTACTACAAGATCAATATCATAAAATGGTATTGGTTTATTGATTGTTAGAATTTGATAATTTAAGTAACAATAATTAAAAACAGCAATTAATTATTGCTTTTTAATTAATATTTAATCAACTTATTGAAATAAATATTTAATTATTTTAGAAAAAATATTATACAGAGCTAGTATTATAAAAAGTATGTAAATATTTTTTTAAATACTAACTAATTCTTTTTATTCTTCTAACTAAAACAGCTGCTGCACATGTTAAAAATAGCTTTACATACTACTATTTACATGTAATTGGGATAACCTTGAAACTTTTTCATTTCATTCTGTAGCAAATGAGTATTTAAATCAAAATTTGGTATTATTTGGTGTAAGGATATTCATTATAATAATAATAATAATAATAATAATAATAATTTTTATTTTCGTAATATGGGATATTCCCGTTACAAGGGGGAACATAAATTAACACATTTGATGGTTAACATTAATAACAGTATTTATCTCGAATTACAAAAAGATATTTTTAATTAAGTCTCATTATCAGATTTGTTACTGGCCTTCCCGGACAATTTAACATATTTAGTAAAAAAATTGTATAATCTTGTTATTATAGTGGAGCTCATTTGAAACAACTTTTTATAAAATTCACTAGTTGATTTACTCTCAGATAAAGTAGAAATATATATTCATTATTATTATATTCAGTCTAAATGTTAACGATATAATATGAAAAACATGAGTATATAAAATAGCTTTCCTTAACTGAATATATAAAACTGAAATGTTCATAAAATTATTTATACAATAAATAAATGAATGCAAATAAAGCATTCCTAACCATATCAGTTTTACTTATTTTAATTACTGTTACTTATTGTTTAATATTGTATATAATTTTAACTGACGCATTTGTTATCTGAGTAAGATTTGTGTTTGCACAAGACAGTACCTTGTAAACTTGTATTTAATATTATTGCACTTTAATTTTGTAATTTCAGACTGTTCTGAAGTATATTCAAACAGGTATAATGATATCAGAATCACCCTTATACAGGCATATCTCATTTTAAGGTGCTTTGATTTATAGCATATCATTAAACAATGCTTTTCAATTTTATTTGGTTATTCTTGCTCTGCTTTCAGGGTATTTTCAGGTTTTGTTTTTTATTTTTTAAATCACTTTTTAAGCCTATTGTGCACGTAATAAATAATAGTATAATTATGATTTTAGTGTTTTAGATTCACTAACAGGTAAAGAAGCTATGTTTCACTTTATGGCAATATTTATTTTATAACAGTAGTCTGGAACCAAATTTATTAGTGAGATATGCACCTAATATATAGATATTATATGCATAATATCACAGTTATCATATCAAGTATAACTATTAAATATATAACTTTTTTATATATTAGAGAATATTACTCATATTTTACAGTAAATATTATATATAATGTAAAAGAAATCTGTTATACTTCTTTTGATGATTCAAATTTAAAAAAGAAATTCAATATATTAATAGTATTAAGTAAGCAATTCTGATGTTACATGTATACAAAAACATTAAACTTAACGTATTTTTATTACATTACAAATACAGTGGAACCCCAGTTAATGAACGTCCTGGTTAACGACCAAATCGGTTAACGAACTTTTATTTTGCAAAAATTTTGTCTCGGATAACAAACGTAACAGTATTTTGTGTCAAATTTTAGTTGGTGTTAGGCATGCGCGCGTTAAGCATTGCTTTTCCCAGTGTTTCTGCTATACTTCTTTGTTCAGTTTTATGATTTATATATTTAATCAATATGGCATCCAAGAAAGAAAAAAATCATTGTGGCCATAGAAAACGACAACGCGCTATCGCATTTGAGAAAAATTTTGATTAAAAGAGTAAGAAAATCAACTTTAGATCAATTTCTTGTTCCTTACGGAAAGAGTTTGTTTGTTTGTTAAGTTATAGCAATGCAGCATTTGGACGATCTGCCTAGGGGGAATGCCTTCTGGGAGGTGTTTTTAAGGGAAACTGCTATTTAGGCGTTACAGACCGGAAAACTCCACGTGGCCAGCCCGTCTGAGCGAGGTGCGAACCCACGAACGAACTCCCCGTGTTCAAGGTACGAAGACCACTTAGCCACTGGTGTGTTTTTTTTACCGAAAGACACTTCGACTTGAAGAATCTTCCGATGAAGTGCTACCCGTTATTTTTTTTGGAGGGGATTCCCCTTCTAAGCATTAACGTTCGTATATCTCCACTTTTCTGCCACCAACTACACAAACGAAAGTATGTATAGTGCTATTTTATTAAACAAAGTTTACATGTTTGTTGCTGTAATGATAGATACTATGTTTACTACATTTTCATCAAAGAAAATTACTGTATATTACAAATAAAATCACAAAAATTTCGGAGATTAGAACGGATTAATTGCATTTGCATTAATTTCTATGGGAAAAATCGCTTCGGTTAACGAATAATTCAGTTAACGAACGGAGTCGTGGAACGGATTAAGTTCGTTAACCGGGGTTCCACTGTATTTAAAACTTTGGCATTGACAACTGAAAATATGACATAGGCCTATTTTGTTAAAATAATTTAGGTTTTGAGTTTTTGCTATTTTAAATTAATTCCAACACAAAAATAAATAGCAATAATTTAATTGTTTTAGATGATAATGAATAAAGCAAAGCACACTTATAAATAGATGAAAATATGTAATGTTTATTATATAAACATATCAAACCTAACACTATCTTAAACATTTATAAAACATATCCAAATAAAAGAGCAATAAAATGTATTAAATAATTTACATATTTTTATCTACAATAAAGATGAATATAAAAAGTTTTCAAAACAACACCCACTATTTTACTGAATTCAAGATTATTTTTAGACCTGATCCTCCAAGAATCACTGATAGCATGAACAGTTTTATAAATATTGCATTTGGCAAACTATCACATAGCAGTTAACTGACAGCATAGGCCAAGAAATTGTTTAAATAATTGTAATACTATTTCACATTTTACTTCTAGTAAATAAGAATTTACTACAAAGAGTATATGTTTTGAAATTGTCTATATTTAAAAAAATTTACACAGGAACAAGTCTGAAAACAACTAACTCAATAAGATAATGCCATCGCAGCAAAATTTTTTATATAAGAAATTATAATGGCTGTCTTTTTACAAAGGAAAAGTATAAAACTTTTTGGAACATTTCATATTTTTTTTTTATTTATTAAACTACCATTTAAAATATATAAATAAGATTTTAGTTATAAATTTTTTATAAAACTGTATATAGACTATAGAGAAACTATATATATACATATATATTTATATACATATAGATAAAATAAAAAATATGTGGCTATCAGAAAAGAAGGCATTTGCCATAAAAAAAAAAACTATCTATACAATAAATAATCTGAACTACTAACAGCAGAGACTGAGAGTCAGAGTTGATTTTAAAAAGTACCAACTCAGGAGTAGTGTATTTTCCCCACCAACTCCCCATCCCTGACTAACAGAATCAAATTATAAAGAGATTATGAGAAGTCACTCAATAACATTGATTCTTGTTTATTAATGCAAAAATGCATTATTGGTACAATGCTTTATTGAGATTTAAAACAAGACATATTTTACAAAAAGAGAACAAAGAGAAAGATTAAAATAATTAATGAAATTATAAAAAAATAAAATGAATACTCTGAAAAAGTTTAGTTTGCAAACTGAATGTAAAAAATTTATGATGTTAATAATATAAACTATCAAATTTTAATCATTTGATGTAATGCAAATTATGAAGATGAATAATTGTAACATAGTCAAAGAGTGAGACAACAATATAACTATTGAAAGTTTTTGATTCTACATAATTCATATGAAAAAACAGCTGAAACGTTTCTTAGATTTCATTACACTATATAAATTTACAATGCAACATTTTAGCTGTGTGTAAAATATTACTATATTTCTTATTCAATGTGTTAAAATTGTAATATTTACTTTTAATACTAGAAGAAAAAAAATTTTAGTGTTTATTTGCATTATTTATGTAAAAAAGATGATAGATATGTTAGTTTAAGAAATATTTAATAGGTTTGCTACCTTACACAAATTTTTGCTTACATGAGAAGTCTTAGAACATATTAGTCAAATTTGGGAGGCAATGAAAGTTTCAAAATTCTTAAGTTTACATGAGATGTTTACATATACAGTAGTACAGTAGAGCCTTGAAAACTCGGCCTAATGTGGACCGAAGGGTGGCCGAGTTTGTGAAAATGCCGGGTTATCGGAAATGGGGTTAAAAAAAAAAATAAGTATGAGTGTTTCCTCAGAAAATACTGTACTGTACTTGTATGTATTGTTTACATGAGAATACAACAGAGAATAAACTGCCCAAATACCCTTAAATAAAGGAAAAGTACGTCTTTTATGAAGGCATAGAGCCTTTACTACATGAAAATGAAAATTAATGAATACACTGTACAGTAATTTACCTGATAAGACAGACCTCAGAAAAATACTTTATGAGGCATAAAGCTGTCTTTATCATGAAAATTAATTAACTAAGGATTTTTTTGTCCTGCCAGGGTATGGCCGAGTTATCCGGAGTGTCGGGTTATCGAGTGCCGAGTCTTCGAGGTTCTAGTTATATGTAAACATGAGACATATGAGATGATTTTCTTTGTTGTTGATTGTTGTTAATTTACAAATTTTCATTTGTAAATCATATACATATCATCAACAACAATAAATAAATGTTATACAGGGTGTTCAGAAATTCCTGCTACAAACTTCTAGGACTTGTAGAGGGGAGTGAGTACATAATATTTTGATTAGGAACCTACGATGGTTTCAATTCAGATGTTTAACTCTTCCACTTCTGCTGAGGGAAAGAGAAAAGTCTCAGAGTTGCTTGTCACGGTATGCAATAGGCTACAGGATGACGTGTTGTCACATGGGTTCCTAATCAAAATATTATTTACTCCCTTCCCTTTACAAATCCTAGAAGTTTGTAACAGGAATTTCCGAACACCCTGTATATTAATATAATAGTTACACTATATACAGTATATCCTATTAATGTTGTGAAATAAAAACTTACTTATTATAAGAGTTTCATTCAGATAAGAAGGTATAAACACTGATTTATATTTTTAAAATCATACCTGAATTTTGAGCAGCCATAAAAGCTTTGGCAGCTTGTCTCATATCTTTTAGTTCAGAAATAACCATATTTAAATCAGCATGTCCTCCTCCAATAGATTTTAGACGTACACCACTCCTAAATAATTATAGATTTTATAATAAATTATGAAAATTCTTTATTATTATTATAAAATTAAATTATTA